TCACATAGTACGTTCAGTCAGATGTTCAGTTCCCATTGTGGTTTAATGCATCTGATAGTAAGATGGAGATTATCAGTGAAAATCCAGAATACCAAGCCCATTGTTGTACCTTACTGTGCCATGCATAACCATGACTAAAGACCTTACATGAAGAGTGGGTATAATAGCAGTAGATTCCTTCAGAGTAATCACGTAACAGGTAGCAGACCTGATTTAAGGCAGAGCAAGTTTCAAAACTCTTTGCAAGTCTTTTGTGCTAAGGCAGATTCCAATGTAAGAGCCAATATTGCCACAAACACTACTTACTGTCTTTGCCTGTTGCAATAGGCACTCTCCTTGTCACCTAGCCCCAGTGATTGCCCTGCCTCTTGGCAGAGAAACCTGATCCTTTCTGCACCCTGTCTTTAGGCCTCAAGCAACGTGAGAACTAACTACAGAGGGCAGGCTAGCAATCTTGTTAGGGAATCAGGTATATTTACCTGAAGACTTCAACTGAACTGATAAGCCATGACTTTTTTTTTCCATTCAGACAATGTATCTCTGAGGAAGATCCTTGACACAGTTATTGCACCAGAGGTATCCTTCTCAAATGTACAAAAAATTGGGAGATGCTAGGTCGGGCTACTTCCTTGGCACACTGTGTCCTGAAAGACCAGTTAGGCAAGATCTCTAAACAAGATGGCACATCAGGTATTGGCAAGTGTCTAAAAGCTAGGGGACATGACAGGACACTCTAGTCAGCTCAATTAAACTTGGCAGTTCTGCAGTCAGAGGTTAGACAGAGAGTTGTAACAAATACAGAAAATGGCAGAAGACAGAAGAGTCAGTCTCTTCCCCTCTCCTGGGCTACCTCAACATGCTATGATTAATTCTCCTTTACAGCTCTTCCAGTACAGCATAATGCAGAGCTGTTACCAGACTGACAACCTTTTCCCTGAAATATCCCCCTGAACATAGACTGATTCCTTTGAGATGAATGGCACACTGGCCAACTTTACCATACTTTGCACCAGTCTGTTCTCTAAGTGGACTCAGGATCAGAGAGGTATGCAGCTAGGGATTTTGTACTTATTAAAAACTGCCTGCAAGATCTAGAACTACCTGTACTTGCTGTTACACAAGTTTGCCCACACCTCCTATATGAAATGGGTCACCATTCTGTGTGCCGTGAACACCGTATGAGCAGAGGTACAAAACCCCAGATGTGCTCCATAGAATGGAATAGATCACTGCTTGGCCTTAGCAGATGCCCTAAAAGTATCTCCGTGTATGTTTGTGTAGTCATCTGGTCCCAGTGTCCCAGCCCGAGAGGGATCCCCCCCAAATGTCTTTTGCTTGAATGCCATCTATTTGGTCACCTTGCCAGGCTTGTGTCAGATCCTGCCTTAGAAGCGGGCTCCCCTGGAACGGTAGAGACTACTAAGACTGCAGTAACAATTTAGGTGGATGTTTTGATGGTGCTGACATGGAAAACCCTCTTGGGAGGGTGAAGGCAGGTAGTTGTTATCTACTTGACTAATTCTACTGAGAGTTGCTCCTGGGAATGCACAAAGGGTTGACATTCAAAAGGTACGAAGCACCATTTTGAAACTGCTCCCTGTTGTTTTGGTTGCATGCTTTATGACTTACAGTAGCCCAGGCTACCATGTTTTTGTTATTAGAAGTAAATGACCTTCAACTTTAATATCTATCATGGCTGTAACCACATGACCCTATCCTGTATGTCCAGTCATGCCACAATACTCTCTTCTTAGTACAAGACAAGACAGCTTCCTAGCAAACACACAGCAAAGTGTAACGGTTAGCAATAAATTGTCATGAGTAGTCTGCTCAAAAGGAGAATTATTAAAGAGATAATTTGCTTTGGAACCTAAAACTGAAGAGACTTTTAAAGTGAACTGTAACTATAAACTAGTTTCCCACTTTGCATTTTAGTCTCATGAATACTAAAGTATGAAATCACCTGACAGCCAAGCCATTGAATAAGCATAACTAGCCTTCAAAAAAAAAAAAAAAAAAAGTCTTTTAGGAAAAAGGCAAGCTGCAGAACCTCCTATTAGGAAGGTCAACTTGCTTTTCATAAGAATGATATATCCCAGGTAACAATTGTAGTAATATTCTCAATTACGGACATTCATTGGATTGTATTTAGGAAATATATTTCTTTCATTTTTCTTAACATCTTCTCTTCATCATTTTGTCCAGATCATCCTCGCCCATCACTTCTAACACTTACAGAAAAATAAAGAAATATTTCCAGGTAATGCAGAAATCAGATACTATCCCTCTCCTTTCTTTTACAGAATATTGAAACTCCTAATTCTTCCATAACATTACTTAAATGAGACCTCTCTTAGAGTAGGTCGAGTGGTGGTGGCTTGTGGAAGCAAGGAATCAGCATTCTCTGACTCCTTTCACCTAAATGCCTCCAAAAAAATCACACCTTGTGACAAGTAGTAATTCTCTTCCAAATGAAGATATGAAAAGTTTTCTAATAAGTTTATTAATAAATTAGTCTGTTTCAGTTATGGCTTCATTTTCTGATTTCTGATATAATGAAAATGTGCATGTAGCACACAAAGACACACAACGGAGCTCAAATAAAGCTGTTAATACAGGGCTGTAACTCCTATCCAGGACTGAATAAAAGTTCTGGTCCTTTAGCTTTCTTAAATTCTAGGCATTTATCTTTTTCACTGATGCACATATGACTGCTCAGAAGTACATTCTCATGGTAGATGAACACTAAACCCCTTTTGTTTAGAGAAAATGACTCAAGAGATTAACATTCCAAAATAAATTTTATTCCCTCTACCACAGGAAGCATCACCAGATGTATCTTAGTCCTTTGTTACAGTAAGAGTTTTAACATGAAAATATAATGCTTATGAGGACAAATTATCAATGCAATTAGTACGTGAAATTAATTATCCTTTGTTAGTCTACAAATTATCTATTTTTTTCTGTAATATCTTCAAGTAAGACTTTCCTGCAGTTTATATCTCACAAGACACAACAAAACAGAATTACAATATAAAAAAAAAAAGGTATATTTTTTAATTTAACAATGCTATAAGGAAGCTGCTGAGTATTGACTTTGGAGTCCTAAAAAGCTAACCTGGCAGCAAGTAGTTTTTCAATATGCAAGCTGAAACCTTGGTCTCATCAATCTGAGTTGTGACTACAACTGAGCGAAGGTTTCACCACATGGTAGATTAAAAACCCCAAAAGATAAAATTCTGTATCTGACAGAAGGAACAACTTTCTTCCCAAACCTTCTATTTCTGTGAGATGCATGGTACCTGCTTACTTGCATGCAAAATAAAAGAATTAAAGCCACACCTTAGGATCTAGGATCTCAGGGTAATGCAAACTGTTTATTTATGCCATAAGACATAGACTTTACAAACTTGGTCAATGCTACGAGCTACAAACCTAACACACTGATGATACCTACTACAGTAGTAGGCCGATGCTTTGCTATAATAAGCCATTGTAAGTTAAGTATCAAAAGTTCAATTCCAGAAGAAAAACAGGGAAGCCAAGTGCAATATGGCACAGCCAGCAGAAAATAGTTGTTCAACAGAGGTACAAAACTTCTGGAAATTGGTTTCGTACTGATACTGTAACAGGGATGAAAAACAGTACACATTTTACTAGGATTTCACCTGCATGAAGCTGCAAGAGACAAAACAAACCTCAGGAAATTCATACAGCTTAGGTAAATCAAAACAGCAGGACAGAGAGAGGTGGAATGAAAAAGAAAGACAACATTCTTTAATATTCAGGAAAAAGAAACTTTTCTAAACAGGAAATAGGTTAACTCCTACGTAAGAAGAACATGACACCTAACAGAGTCCAATATAGAAAATCCATGCTCTTTTGACACAAAACTGCACTGTGACTTCAGAAGGAAGTGTCGACAGGGAACAAAGGTCTGCTATGATTATAAACTACGAACACTGGATTTTGGATGTGTAAAAATCTTAATTAAGATAGTTAGAGAGAGGTAGCAGAAATGCTGATGATCCTTTCTGGGGACTTTAGACCATGTCAAAGTCAGGGTTGCTAATACATTTCTTTGGAAAGAGCTATTAAGTGATGTGGAAGGACAATTCACACAGAATCACTTCAGGGCCAGCAAGTGATTCCAGGATATTCTCCAACAGACTTGCCCATTTTGTACTTCCAATAAAGACAGATTTGTACCTGCTGGTTCAAATTGCAACAGCAAATAACAAATTTGGCAGTCTGCTGATATACACATTTGATGGCAAATAATGCATTGCAGCACAGTATCTGGAAGCAGTTGCTCTGAAGTCTCTGTTGACTCACAGAACAGTAGCAGAATTAATGAAGTTTTGGGCTGCCCAAAGATACTTACAAACCCACTAACTGTATTTAATTGCATCAGATGAAAGCGCTGTGTGTCACTCTAAAGATCAAAACCTAGAATTTAAGGCCTTCAAACAAATAGGCTGGTGGGTTGTTTTAATCAGACACTGAAGAATGTAATAAACCATTTCATAAAAGTAGATAAAAGATATTGGATCAGCTGTTACCATACTATTTTTGGGACTGATTATTCATGATAACCAATCAAGAACACAGCCACCATAAAGTAATTTACTCAATTTAACTGTATAAGTTTTTTAAAATTTAAGAGCCAAAAAAGGATGCAATGTATTTTTGTGTTAATGAGATATTTCTGGGTAAGACTTACTGTTAAAAAAAGGACTGCATTTTTTTTTTTAAATATAAGTCTTATAAAACCAGGTCAGAGAATAAATGGATAAAGTGTTAAAACAGGGAATAATAAAAATATTGCAAAGCCAACAGAGAAAGCAAATAGTAATAGTAAAAACCAGGAAGAGTTACCTTTTTTTTTTTTAATGTCTACATGCACATGACTGTGTTTGATCATTTTTCTGTGTGGTAGTGAGCCATTAGTGAGGTTTGGCACCCACTTCAACCACACCAAAAAAAAGAAGAGTGGCAAATCCCAAAGACAGCATCTTGTGAGTAAACAGTTTTCTCCAGTGTCTCTGACTCAGAATAATGTGGGTTACCTTAGGCAGCTGCCACATTCCAATGTATGAACTGCATCCCTCAGCTTTATAGGGAAGAAGTGGGAGGTAGTCACATATACATCACTGAAGATCACAGACATAGAGCTGACTGAGTAAATGAGTTCAGTCATCTCATGAAGGTCTAGAAGGTGCACTGTATTTGCACAGGAAGTGATTTTATCTCCTGTAGGCACATGTTAACTACAGAGTATCTATCTGTCTACCAGATGGATCACTTAAAGCCTATGGTCTATTGATAAGAAAGCAATTCTGAGTAGAGAAAGAGTATGTCCTGTTATGGTGGGTGATTATGATGAAAACTATTAATAATCTGCTCAGATGACAATTCATCTTACACCTTTCCTTTCTGCAGTGGAACATCACACTGGGAACTCAAATTCAAAATACTCAAATTTAAAATTATTCTTTAGGCATGACAAGGATGACTTTCCCACTAAATCCATCTACTAGCTAAGCTGGTAATGGCAGAAGCTTTTACAACAAGCTTGAGAAAATCCACAAAATGGGTAAAAGCTTACTGGACATCTTCTTTATCTTTGAGGGAAGTATATAGCACACAGTTAGGAAGTGGTAGGCTGACAGACTCTAGATCTAAGAAGGAATGACTTGACAAGATAGAGGTACCAAACTGGTATCAAGTAGCCTGACAGAATAGAAGAGCTGGTGAACTCCTTTTTCTTTCCTTCAGAGAGGCAAATTGGCACTGTTACTCATTAAAAAAATAAGACCAGTAAAGACATATGTTACAAAAAATTACAGGGTCTCCAAACGCATCTTTAAGCTTTCTGTTTACAATAATTTCTGAATTTTTCCATTAATCTCTTCAACATAATATTTCATGTATAGTATAAAAACAAAGCAACCTCATATCAGGCATGCAATTCTGTCATTTCAATTTTATATTTCAGTGGCTGAAGACTGTGTACCTCTGACCCACATTTAGGACATGTAAAATATATATCAAATAAACAGTTACTTTTAATACAGTAGTAACAAAAAACATGCAAACAGCCTATGGTATGAGGCATGGTAGGCCATTCCCCACATAGTGAACATTCCTTGCAGTGAGCTGCTAATGTGTTTTCACTATTGGGAAGACCTGCAATAGGCAAACACCAAGAAGAAATTTTAAGTTTTAGTTTCTGTACATTAATAAGTGGTAGCAGATAGATCAGAAATTCAGCAAAACCATGCCATAAGAGCTCCCTGTTCATGTATTCAAATCCTACCTGCCGAACACTTTGTGGCTTGCAAAAAACTGACCTAATTCCTAGAATGCGTTCTGTAAGCGTTGCAAATGTTCCTTTCTGAAGAAAAATCAGAAAATTTAAAAGTCCACAGAGTTTAAGAAGTCCAGCTCCAAAGTTAATATAACTCTTAATTTTGCAGAAAGATTGCAGTTGACGATTGCTAAATAAATCATAACATCTTTCTTCCAACCACCTTCCACCAACAGTGAAAATAAGATACCATAACTTCTGGTGTTTGCTCAGAGGTTGGTATTTCTCTGTCTGAGATAAGTTATTCTTGTAATGAATATTCAGAATAGCCTGTCCCACAGTTGCATTCTTGGAATAGATAGTGAATCTCCATAATACAAGCCATAAAAATGCTTTTACTTCTGGTTCAAAATGAGCCAACACGCCTGGTTTAAATCCATGAAAACAGCTGGTAAACTGGGACCACACTAGTTGTTCCAGGGCTTTGTTTAGTTCAAGAGCATCAAGTTGACTTATTCTGAGCACAGGATTCACACTCTTTTCATTTCCAATGCTGGAGGCCATTTCTTCACAAAACCACTTTCTAGGAATAAACATAAATAGATTTTAGTATAATGGAGCATTTCCTATTTTTATTCCTATTAAAGATAACAAAGTTGTAATATACCAGCAGTAAACAAAAAAATAACAAAAAAGCTGCTTCAGAATGCTGTATTAATACATTATTAATATGCTACAAGTCCTTTCAGGAAGCTTTACACTAACAGTATAAAATTTCATCTCAAAATAAGCTATACTGGACTATTTCTTACAAACAGTAACGTTTGCATTTGCTTATAGAACAGTGTTTAACACCTTCCAGATATTTAGAAAACTCCATAGATTTAACGTTTCACTGTATAAATGTCATGGTTTAACCCCAGCCAGCAACTAAGCACCACGCAGCCGCTCACTCACTCCTCCCCCATTCAGTGGGATGGGGGAGAAAAATTGGGAAAAGAAGTAACACTCATGGGTTGAGATAAGAACCGTTTAATAGAACAGAAAAGAAGAAACTAATAATGATAATGATAACACTAATAAGATGACAACAGTAGTAATAAAAGGATTGGAATGTACAAATGATGCACAGTGCAATCGCTCACCACCAGCCAGTCCCCCAGCGGCAATTACCCACCCCCACCTCCCAGTTCCTATACTAGATGGGACATCCCATGGTATGGAATACCCCGTTGGCCAGTTTGGGTCAGCTGCCCTGGCTCTGTCCTGTGCCAACTTCTTGTGCCCCTCCAGCCTTCTCGCTGGCTGGGCTTCAGAAGCTGAAAAATCCTTGACTGTAGTCTAAACACTACTGAGCAACAACTGAAAACATCAGTGTTATCAACATTCTTCTCATACTGAACTCAAAACATAGCACTGTACCAGCTACTGGGAAGACAATTAACTCTATCCTAGCTGAAACCAGGACAATAAATTTAAGAAAAAGTATTGCTGGGCATAACTGTAATATTCAATTGGACCTTAAACCAGAAGATCAGAAACAAGAATTGTAGAACTATATGGTGTTTTATGGAGAAATAGAGAAAATGAACATACTAACTAAAATCTAGAACAGAACAGTGGGGTGCATAGAAAATAATGCCATATGAATACTTCAGTAGCGGCAGCTGAAAGTAAAATCTGAGAAATAGTAGTGAATTTAAGGATTACATACAGAAAGATATGGATGAAAATTAAGGTGGGAATGATAAAACTTGCTAAATAAATGCAGTGATTTGTTTAGTTTAGAGAAGAATCATTATATGATATTAGAGAAATATTCAGCATTCAGACATAAATTATCATAAAGTACATCACTGAAGCCTGCATATATTTTCTAGAGTCTTTTGACAGGTGTGGGATTGTGGTACTTGTCATATAACACATTTCCTGGCAAGATGATTAATGTATACTCTTCTTGTTCAAGCATTACAGAGAAAAATAAAAATATTTTTTAAAATTGCTTTGTTTAAATGTTATTTTATCTGGAATTCTGTGACTAAGAAAATAAATGCAATAAATTGCAAGAGCAAAATATGGATAACGCCTCGGTAATGCAAAATTGTGGGGTAACTGATTTCTGGTTCCTTTAGTCCACATAAAAAAAACTCAAAGTGATTTAGGAGAAGTGGTATATTTCAGATAGTATGCAACATATTTCACTTTCTAAATCAGATTCTTTGCAGACAAGCAAGGGTTAACAGCCTTCTGGAGAAAGTACAGAAGAAGGTACTGCAAATCCTTATTCGTAAGAGGAAAACCTGCTATAACACAAGACTGCTTTGAATAAAAGATGCTGTATAGGATCCTACATGGGAATGGTTGCTAATGATGCTAAGAATACTAAAAAAAAAGAAAAAAAATCCCTCTAAACCAATAACCGTTTGCTGAAACAGAGTGCACCAAAAGTTTTAAAACCCAGTATAAAACATTATTTGTAGCATTCCTGCTGTTTTCTATACCTGTAATTGGTCATGTCTATAAGGAAAATATCATGGAAACTTAACAGGAAATATGATTTTGTTCTTAATGCATGGTGGACAACAGTAGTTTTCAATTAACTAAGACTGGCTACGTGGCTAGGGCATAAAATAGGTCCACTCAGTTTCTTTAAGCTCTGCCTTCCTCATTAGCAAGCAAAATATGGCTGAAGGCAGTATAAGGCCACCTCCTCTGGGCAAAAAGCTATGGGGTTCATCGCACCAACCTGCACTGGCCTGACAGGCCAGTACATAAGGGTATACAAAGGCAGTATGCCCAAGCCTGTCTCACTCACACTTCTGCCTTTTCTGTAGTAAGCACCAAAGCACAGGAAGTGTGGTTGGAAAGCACTATCCCCTATCATCCCAATAACTTACCTCCTCTGCCTTGTGATCAAAGGGTCAATTCAACCCTTACTGGATCTTGCTGTATCACTTCAAAAACTCCAGCTCCAATGACTATCCACCCTCCTACCCCTCATCTTCTCATCCCACTACCATTTTAGGAACGACAGCCTCTGATAACCATCTGCTCTGGAACCTGTCACTGGTGTAGTGCTATTCACTCGTAACCCCTAAAAGTCTAGTGTTTTCTTCACTTCTGGTAACACCTCAGTCCCTTCTACTCATTTCACTCCATTCTACTCATTTTAGTTACCCTCCTACTTGTGTTCTATACAACTCCCAATACACATAAATCCCCTTTCAAAATCCTAAAGTTATTTGAAAGGGACATCTTACCAAACAGCTTCCTTGATCCATCTACTAAAACCGTTTTACAATATCTTTTCCAGCTGTCTTCCATTATCCCAAGTGCTATGAGAAATTGCTGTTGGAGTTTTCTCATAAATAAGGTAGGCTAAATCTGTGCAGACTTTCCCCCCCGCCCCCACCCAGTATAGCCAGATTATCTTAAGAAACCTCAGCAAGTGAGGAAAGGGGCATCAGGAACCTTCTGAAGTTCAAGGAAAATCTGTCAAATACACATGATTATGACTGATCATGAAATACGCAAGAAAACCCATGGATTACTATAGGCTGGGAGCTGACTGACTGCATAGCTGCTTTGCAAAAAAGGACTTGGGCATTCTGGCAGGCAGCAAGCTGAACCCAAGTCACCAGTGCATCCTTGTGGCAATAACGCTTACTGGAGTGCCTTAGCACACATATAGCTAGCAGACTGAAGGATGTGCTTATCCCCTCTACTTGGCATTGGTGAGTCTGCACCTGGGACACTACATCCAGTTTTGCCTCTTTTCTATCAATAGTACAAAAGAAATGTCAACAAACTGAAAAGAGTCCAGCCACTAATACCATTAGGGAGCCCCAACATCTGATATATGAGGAGAGCTTGAAGGAACTCAGACTGTTCAACTTGAAGAAAAGGCAGCTAAGAAGCGATCTAATAGTAATCTTCCACTACCTAAAGGTTACAGAGAAGATTAAGTCAAACCTTTCCGTAAGATTCAGTGAAAGAGAGAGGCAACTGGTAAGTTGCTACATGAGAAATTCCAATTGGACATAAGGAAACTGGAAGTTTATCTACAGGGACTGTGAAATCTCCATCCCTGGAGATTCTTAAACTTGACCAAACAATGCCCTAAGCTACCTGTTCTAGCATTGAATTTATCCCTAGTCTTCACAGGAGGATGGGCTAGATGTCGTAAAGATCTTCCCCAGAACTTGATCTTCCCAAAAATTTGTGCATGCCTCACTGTAAAATCTAATTGATTTGTGACAATACGCATTTTTTTCATATCCATGATCCTTTACAGAACTTTACTTGAAGGAAGTAACTTCAGTGAATCTGTCAGTGTGGGTTGGAACTTTGTACACAGAAAATGGGAACCGCTTTTGAACCAACAAGTCCAACCACTGTTTGTTAACCTTTGAAATCCTGCAAAATCCAACAAGTCTCCTTTTAAAAAAATTAGAATCAACACCATATATAGCTTAACTGTGACATATTTAATGTCTCTTCCTGAATTACCAACTAGCAGATTGATTCAACTTTGAAGTCACTTTTATACAAACTATATGGAAAAAAAACAGTATCAGCCAAAAACATAAGCAACTAATAATAAAGATGTACTCCTTTAAAATCTTTTAAATTATGCTTGTAATATTCCTACGTAAGCAAAGCTTTTTTTCTGATGAACACTTAGGTAAGCATTCTCAATTTAAGCAATAAAACTGGGCATTTTTCTGAAGTTCTTTGTTGCTAAGATCACTGAAAGTTTGCCATAGGCTATGGCTGTTAACTAGACCCTGCAAGTTACTTGAAGATTATATCCATATAGCTTTGATTTTAACGTGTAAGCACATTTCAGTGTGTTTACTGTTACCTTACTGTAAGCTGAAGTGTTCTGCTAAACACTATGCTTACTTCCAAACTGATTTAAGGTTTTACTGCACTTATAGGGTAGATACTTACTTCCCACAGACAAACATTACAAGGAAAAGTTTGAAAACTGTATTTTCCTATGAAAAATGTCTGCAAATGTCCTAATGATCTAGATAACAGCAACTGTTTCTTTGAGAGAAGAGACCTAAATTCTAATGTCTATTTTGCTATAGTAGGGAATTGTCATTATATTGTCTGTCCATGGTGTCCATTTTTTTTCAGGTGCCAATAAATAAAGAATAAATAAATTATAATAAATTAAGTTTTCCCTTTTAAAATTACTTCCTCTATACAAAATCCTTTCAGAAATTTGTTAGATTTTTCAGCTTGTACTATTTTCACAAATTGTGGTCCTAGAGTAGGAATAAATGAGAAATATTCTGGTTTAAAACTACGTAATAAACACAGCCTGTAAGTGTCAAGACATTTAACTTGTACTTTTTAGCATTATTTTTGCATTCCATAGTCTGCTGAGCTACACAGACTATAAAGAGAATGCTGGTTTTCCTCCATGTTTCTGCATTAAATTGTATTTGTCATGTCCTTACTGTTTTAAGTCTCTTACTTGGTCTAATTTAATTTTTTTTAAAACTTAAGAACTCAGAATTGTAGACCCAGTAATGAGACAAATATCAACGCTCAGTTAAGGATGCCATCAGG